CAGCCCGAACGTCTCCTATCACGATGGCGATATCACGGATGCTCCTGCCATGAAGGCTCTGTTCTCGCAGATCAAGCCCGACGCCGTCATCCACACAGCATCCCCACACTTCGATCTGAAGCCTGAGATTCACGACAAGGTCAATGTTGGGGGTACCAAGGTCCTGCTGCAGGCCGCGCAAGAGTCTGGAGTGAAGGGCTTCGTGTACACAAGCTCAGCGAGTGTCATCCTCGACCACGTAAACGATCTCGTCAACGCGGACGAGCGATGGCCGCTTGTTACTGGCGACGACCAGCCTGAGTACTACACAACCACAAAGGTAAGCACACAATCGCATTGTTATTTCTCAGTAGCTAACGATATACTAGGCATATGCCGAAACGGCTGTCCTCCAAGCGAACCGTCACCCCGAGAACTCCCCAAACTTCCTCACCTGCGCCATCCGTCCAGCTGGCATCTTCGGCGAGGGCGACGTACAACTGCTCCCTAAGATGGTTGGCGCATACCGCAAAGGACAAACCAAGTTCCAAGTCGGCGAGAACACCAACCTGTTCGACTTCACCTACGTCGAGAACGTCGCATACGGCCACGTGCTCGCTGCTATCGCGCTCCTCCATACCCACAAACGCCTCCCCAGCATTCCTCTCGATAATGAGCGCGTCGACGGCGAAGCCTTCCTCATCACCAACGGACAACCCGTATACTTCTGGGACTTTGCGCGTGCGGTATGGCACGAGGCAGGCGACCGGACACCTCTGAGCAGTGTGTGGCATCTCAGCACCGAGTTCATGTGGGCTATTGGCACGATCCTAGAGAACGTCTTTTGGCTCATGGGCAAGAAGCCTAACCTGACTAGGGCTCAGGTTAAGTACAGCAGCATGTCCAAGTACCACAGCATTAACAAGGCGAGACTGCGGTTAGGATATGAACCGCTTGTTACTTTGGATGAGGGTATCAAGAGGGGTGTACAGTATATTTTGGAGCAGGAGAAGAAGGCTGGCGAGAAGAAGGGTCAGTAGACTCATGCAAACATGAGCAGAGGCTATCGAAGACGGTTTATTCCCATACCGCAGGTGTATAGTGTTTGTAGATAATGTAATTACATGCCCTCGACAACTTCGATGCAAGCAAGCACTTCACTACGATGCTCGTATTTCTCAACTCAGGGAAGCTCTCGTAAATACATGCACACTGTCGTGGCCAGATGGAGCTAGAACCTCCCCAAGGCGGGACCCACTCCCGATTAAGTCAACTTCGTCGCGCGCGTAGCTCAGTGACCTCCCCAACCCCACGTTCACCCCACCCGTCACCATGGCGCGCAATCACGAAGTATGTCGCGCCCGCTACTTCCCGAGTCAGCATACGAAGCTCTCGGCCTCTCTCCTGAAACGATCAAAGACCTGATGAATCCCAAGCCTGCGCCCGAACCTACCGAAATCCACGCGCCGAACCTCCTGCAGAGTGACGAAGACAATGCGCGCCCCATGTCGCCCAACGAAACTTCCATAACGCTATACGCCGAGCTGCTGCTGCATATACGTACGGTTACGCTTTTTGCATCGCTGCGCACAAATTTCTCCCGGTCGACGGACGCGAAGCTGTCGTCTGATGGCTCTTACATCACTGTATCGCATGAGGGCCAATCTGCGTCAATACGTCTTCCGATCAACGTCAAAGGCGGAGGCGACGCTGCGCTAGAATTACCGTCACAGCCTCCAACGAAAGAGTTGACACTCCGTCTTCAGCTGGAAGAAAAGGAAGGAAGCGACCTTCTTGGGACACTGCAACGCGAAGACCGACAGGCCAACATTGTACCGTGGGACGGCGCTTCGCTCAACGATGCGAAAGATGTTGAGATAACCTGCAAAGGCTGCGACGGTATCCTTGTAGCGAAAGGAAAGGTTCAACAGTGGAGAGACCTGCCTAATGAGAATTGGGCTGAGATGATGGACTTTTGGCATTGCCATAAGCCTGATGAGCATCACTTGCACGATCACACGCATGATGATGTCGTCGGTCAGAAGGGTTACGCGGCTGGTAATCGCCTGCAGGCTATGGGAGGTGTTGGGTTTGTTGATCTGGCCAGCTTTCTACTGGCAGAGTCGGATTGCGAAGGCGCACAGGTAAGCTACAACCTTCTTTCAACCGTGTCGTGCGGTTCCTACATCGTCACTTCATGAGGTTGCAACATGTATGGGCGCAAAGAAGGCGAACTCGCCTCATCAGTGGCATTCATCGTCGATACAAGCGCCCTAAATTGATAGGCTCATACACGTACTCTTGGTTCCGGTGTACCCTCTTCCCCAGGTTGATGGGTTGCCGGCGCCGTCGAGTCAGCGGCCTGGCGTTTCACTGTCTCTATCCCCTCAGACCCTTGGGATTGGCAGGTTTAGCCAAGGCTACATCTTACACTGTTATTTACCGTTAGCTAGTATCGCACATGCTGACGTGACGCAGCTCTCCTCTTCCCCCGAAGGCACAGATCAAAACCTGATCCAATGCAAGCATTGCAGCCACACAATCGGCGCCCAGGAACCCTCAAACGACGGCTGGCGAATACGAAAGTGGGCCATTAGCATACGATCTGCCAAAACGACTCCCTCCTCGCCAACTACACACACAGTCCAGAAATGGATATCAGTCCGCCTCCTCCACCTCATAGAAAACACCGGCCTCCGCAAATTCCACATCCACACCGCCGCACCACCCGACCAATCCCAAGACACCCCCACACCCTCCCTCCTCATTTGGGTCTTCACCCCCGATCTCCTCTTCTCCTCTTCCATACCCACGCCCGGCCGTCTCGATCCTACACGCACGATGAAAGTCTTCTACCAGAAACAGACGTGGCAGGCTTTGAAGCCGGGGGAGCCGGAGAGTGCTAGTATAGAGGATGTAGAATTTCCGGTGGATCTTTATGAGGAGCTGGAGAAGGGGTTGGAGAAGAGTCAGAGGTTGTTGCCGCCAACAGCGAAAAAGTTTCAGGGGTGGGATGTTGGGCTTTTGGAGAGGTTTGAGGTGCTTGAGGCGGGGTTGGGTGACGGAAGTGGGAAGGAGGAAGGTGAGGCTGGTGCGAATGGGGTTGAGAATGGGAATGGGGTGGGTGGTGAGATACCGGAGGAGGATGTTGATTGATGTAATGAAACGGATTAATGAGTATACACATATCTATGCCTAATGTAGAAGCTACACTGTAGCATTCATTCGTGTCCTATCTGCTGTCTAATTTTTGTCATTTGTTGAAATGCGTCATACAAGACTGTCGGTCTCTAAGCGGGTGCATGGCATGACGATTGCTAGCCGGGTGAGAGCAAGCGCCTACCTTACCCGCAACGCTTTCCCAGCCGCTCAATCACCGCTGACCTCGCAAGGATAAAACTGGCTTCATCTCCCTCGATTTCTCTCTATGCTTCCTCTCTCTCTCTTTCCACAAGTCAGTCAAGGTTCGCATCCATTTCAACCACATCATTCATCAACCACATCATCCATCCACCAGTATGTCTACGAACGCCAAGATTGCTGCGATGCAGCGACATCGTGCCGCCGCCGCCGAGACCCCAGACGACCTTCTGGATGTGAGAGTCACTTCCGAATCATCGACTACCTCAAGGAACGGCCAGTCTACCATGGACACTGGACTCCGAGGTCTATGCCAGTCCACGCAGTCCGTCGGTCTAGAAGATCATGTGGCCACCGAGGTCTCAGATGAAGCACCTGACATACTACAACTCAGCGCCGATCCCAAGAAGCTCGCCATTGCTGAAGAAAATGCTGGAAACTCACCTCTCCTCCGTTTGCCAGCTGAGATCCGCAACACCATTTACGACTTGGTTCTCAGCTCTCACCGCGACTTCCACACCTTCGATGTCGCACGCCAGAAGCGTATGCGGCAGAATGGTGGAAGCGAAACTACTATACAGCAGCTCGCTTTGTTGCAAGTCTGCCGTCAACTGTACACCGAAACCAACCTTATCGCCCTCAACTCCACACCTTTCGCTTTCGGCTCCGTCACCGACTTTTCCAAATACATCGCGCAGACACTGCTCCCAACCCAGATTTCCGCCATCACCGTGCTCAAGGTAAGTTTTGACTGTACGAAGTGCATGTGAGACATATACTGACTTCGTACTTTTACCTCTGCAGTGCCCATTTCGCGAGATCTACTTCCCTGGCTTTGGTGTTAACTCCGCGTTCATCGGGCTCCTTCGTGACAGTTTACGTGGGCTAAAGGTGCTGGTACTGTTTGGGGTGAGGAGTAAGGCCGTCGAGGAGGAGGCGATGCGGGTCATAGAGAGGAAGATCGCGAGGGAGATTAAAGAGGGGTGTGGAGAGCTGGAGGTGAAGGTTGAGTTGACGAGGAATGGTTTGCAGTGGCGCAAGGAGGTCGCATCGGTCTATGGCCGTGGAGAGCGGAGTTTGGGCGCAGAGTGACGAGGGTGATTGACTCTGCTTGACCTTCCCTGCAAGAATATCAAAAGCTGTGTACGATTAGACATGGGTTAGTATTGCGTGCGTTCAATCACTACTCTACATCTGCAAACGGAAGATCTTCCTTTCCACCAGTTTTATTTATCTATCTATCCTACACTATCTGATGATCTCTACCGCAGCCTTAAGACTCCGTAAATGGGCAGTCCGCAAAGAAGGAGAAGGGGGGAGATCAAAATCAGTCGCCAGATAAAAGAAGAAGGGGGGAAATGAAAACCCGCTCAAACAAACAAAGATCCTTTGTTTTTTTGTGGAGTTTCTGTTCTGTTCGAGGCGCTATCCCACACCCAGTGTGGGAAAAGAGAGAGTGAAGAGCAAGGCCGTAAATGCATGCGTGCCCGATTATATCTTCTCAATTCCTCCTCTTGTCATAACAGTCGTGAATCGCTGTTCAAAGAAACACCCAGTGTCCCGACGCCGGCTCCATGGAAAATTACTCCTTCTGTTTAAGTACAGGGTGTGAAAGACGGCTATACAAGTGCCCGCTAATCGTATACAATGCAGTGCGGGAATTACTGCTGGTTCCCGAAGCCCATAAAGTTCAAATCATCCAACGTAGTGGTGGGCTCAATGTATTGGGGGTCGAACTGGCCTCCAACCTGGTTGAAATCGGGAAAGAAGTTGGCCGTGTGGTTGAACGTCATCTGGCTGGGTGGCGCAGTGTCGAACAACGTGAAGTCCTGGCCGGGGCGACTGAAGCCTTGCATGGTCATGTCCATGTCACCGCCAAAGCCCTCATCCATGTCTGGTGAGTAGAGGGTGATGTCAGGCTGAGCCATAGGTGATAGATGTGGCAGACCGTTCATGTTGTTGTTCGTCGCAAATGGCAACGGCGCAAAGTCAAACGCCGTGCTCATTGGGGTTGGCTGCTGGTAGCCAGTGTTGAAGTTTGCGTTCAGTGCACAGGCGTTGTAGATGTCGTTGTGGTTAATATGGGTGTCTTCTGGCGTCACAGCATCGTCGAAGGATGTGGGCTCAACGGGCGAATGTCCTGACGAGTATGTGAAGTGAGAGCCATCGGTGGTGATCGAGTCACGACGGAAGTCATCTTGGTAACCGTGGGCACTCATAGCCGGCGTTCCGAAGCCATAGCAGTTGAAGTTCTCGATCATGGGCACTTGAGGCGAAGCAGCGAATGGTGTGATAGGTGTAGTCATGGTCGCCGACATGGGTGTACCGATGAAGGGAGTGAGAGGGGTAGCGGGGCTGTGATCGCTGCCAGAAGCGCCCTTCTTGCGACCGTTGCTCTTGGAGCGAACATATTCCCAGCCATGAGCCTTCTCCATGTGCTGCTTGCAGTTGGACTCGCGCTTCGAAGCGTACGTGCATGGGTGGTAGAGACACTTGTACTGAGCAGGAGCAGCAGAGTGCTTGTCGTTCATGTGCCTATCACGCTCCTTCTCAGTCGGCCAGCCGAGTTCGAAGTACTTGCAGTTCTTCTCGTCGCACTTCCATGGGCGAGAGTGAGTCTTCTCGTGCTTGGTCAGGTCGCATGGTCGCTTGAACTCCTTCTTGCAGTCACGGCAAGTGTGCATCACGTCTCCGGGTTTCTCGGACTTCCGTCGTCGCGCCATGGATCGGGTTACTTCGTCCTCGTCCATGCTGTCCTCGTCGGCGTCCGACAGACGACGCTTGATCCTGAAGGCGTTCGAGGCATCCACTGACATGGGGATGACGTTACCGTTCTTCTCCCGGACGAGCTCGACAGGACGGCCGTTGTGGCTGATGCCACCGCGGAGGGTGATCTTCTCATCGCTATGGAGTTTTTGATTAGCGCGGGCGAATAAAAAGTCGGCGGCGCGGTCATACCGTGAGTAATCCATCTCGTCCAGATCCTCACCCTTGGTTTCTTTTTCTCTTGTAGCAGCCATGATTGAAGCGTATCGTCTAATCTGTTCCATCAAATCGAGGAAGTAGCCGTCAGTATAAGGGCGGTCGGTTGGTAGTCGCTGGTCTTGTTCGGAGATGTACTGGACGGTCGTAGCCAAGAGTTGGATTGATCGTTGGCAAAAGCGGAAGTACGAGTCCGGGGAAGCCGACAGCTCCTTTAAACCACGAAAAATGCAATAAGCTTCTGCACTTTGAGAAAGACAATGGGTGATTCCACTTACGGGTGCGAGGAAGACGAGGGTCTTCTCGAGGTCACGGAGATTGCGGATATTCTTCTGACCTATGCGTCGAGGCACGTCCTTGACGAGGGAGTGGAAGTCCTTGAGAGACTCCTCGGCGAGAATGGGCTTGATGATGTAGTCGTGGATCTGCTTGCACGTGTGCTCGCCGAGCACGTCCTCTTCTGAAAAGGTGAGCGATGAGAAGGACCTGGTGACAGCCGAATGCGTCGAGCTGATAGAAGTGCTGATGGAGTCACGGACGCTCGAGCGCTGGGAGCGAATCTCGTCTTTATATATGTTAGTATGTGGGGCGTTCTCATCCAAGACGGGTGGCTGCAGTGACTCCTTACCGTATTTCGATCCACTGATGCTGGAACCCAGACCGCTGTCAGAAGCGTGGTCGTGGGGGCTGCGTGCAACTGCAGTAGGCTTTGGGTCAATGTCCATTGGGGTGTGGTCCAATGGGGCGCTGTCGAGGATAAAGCTCGGGACAGGAAGAACCTCCGGATCGTTGAGAAGGTCGCAGCTGGTAACAGTGCTCTTATGGCCAGCGACCTTCGCTTCGAAGTCTTTGAGCAGGTTGGTGACGCGACGCACGTTAGGGTCCTGGATGGAGTCGTTGACTAGCTCTTCCAGCCGGTCAGTGTTGGTAGGCGAGCGGCGGGGCATGCAGAATCGGTCCAACTCGCAGATGTCGGACGAGATATTGGTTGGCGACGAGAAAGTGCCGCTCTTCCTTAGCTGCATGCCATGGGTGCTCAGAGGGGATGCGGAACCCTTAAGAGGACGGCGGCGGGGATGACGGTTCTGGTCGTGGGGTGCAGACATGTTGAGTATGACTGGTCGTCGTACCGGTTGAAGTGGGAAAGGCGGCCTCAGGTGAGTCACGGACTGCACAGTTCCCCAAGCCCGGCGATCCAAAGGGACCAAGTGTGAGTGGTTATCTGAGCCCAGATCACGTTTTCATTGACCGGGGATAGTGGAACCTTTGCGGCCGCGGAAGCTAGCAGCTGATAGGCTAGGGTGATGATGGTGATGCAGCGAGCGAGGAAAGGGCGCTGAGTCCTTTGGTCTGGTGTCGGAGGAGACGTGCAGGTATATAGGAAGGCGCAGCACGTGGAGTAAGACGGGCGGCGAGCGGCAAAAGAGGCACAAGGGCGGCGGGTCTGCGGTGCAAAAAGAGGACGAGGAGGGAGGCCTGAGGGATTAGGATTTGAAGCAAGAAGAGATCTCGAGCAGCGCGGGCTGGGGGGATAGGTGGTTCAAGAGGGAAGGAACGGGTTGTCGTCGCTTCCTCCAGTAAGTGGAGTTCAACTCCAGGCAGCAGTGCACGGACATCTGACGTTCCGCGCAGTCAGCCCCTGCTCGGATCCTGAATACGAGCTGCATACCATTATTCGCCCATTTGCACAATAGCAGCCATCCGTCTTCTGCGTATCTCTGCCGTGTCTGTTGATGCGGGAGGTGATTGCGAGAGTTATTTCATCCCTCACCGCAATCCTACTGTGGTAAAAGACACTGAACCACGAGAATTGTGCTCCATCCAGCGGTGACAAGACCCTGGCCAGAAACCGGTCAACCCAAGAAGCGCAGGAACGGCTGCTAGTGCACGCGCATCATTGGTGAATGGCGTCAGGCGCCCTATGGGTGGAGGCTTTGAAGGGCGGCAGGGCTGTGCATGGATGAAGCGACTTCGCCATCCTCACCACTTCTGGTGGATCGGCTGCTAAACACAACTAACACGTCGCTACTGATAAACCCGCCGTCCCTGCTCCCTGGAATTGCACCTTTGCGCACGCCGTCCTACCCGCTTTTTCCGTCGCTGCGCAATTGCACCGTGTCCTGATGTTCTGGATGTCGGCCCATACGTATGCCGCATCCTTCGATTGGGCGAGTCGCGCAGGACGCCTTTTCACCGGAATCGTGGGGGCCAAAAACACGTCGTCAACCTGCATGTGATTTATAGGGCTGCGCATGCAGGGCGGAGAGATGTTGATATTGAGGGAGTCACACATATAAGACCCATGGCGGGGTACTCCGGGACTAAGTATAGGCTTGTTGGTTGTCTCACACTCTCTACGCAGGTCGCCACCCCAGACGTTGGATGCACCCTCTCTCACGACTCGCTGCGGACAAAAGCCGGATATTTGAGCGTGGACATGTCTCTCACCGATCACGTCGCAATGACTAGCATTCGAAATGTCTGTCCCTATCGCAAGCTACTCCGTCCATCTCAGACTTCACTGCACTTCCTTCCTTTTGCAAAAGCATGCACCGATGATTCGTCACATCACTCTGCACTCATGCTCTGATCACATGGGTCGCCGGCTTCATGCAGTCATCCCTCTTTCTTCTAAACTACGACACTATCCCAACTTCACTGCTACGACAGACATCTCCAGAGCCTCCAACGCGACTCTATACCTAGTACAACACACTACCAAATATCACGTGTCTTAACGTGCTACAACGCCCCTCTAGTAAACTCCATGTAACATCCTGGTCGCCGGCATCACGTCCCAGTGATGAGAGCTGTGCGCTATCATGATCATTCATGCTGATTCCTCAACCACCTCCAAGGGAAAAATTTGAACACCTGTCTAGCCACAGAGAATGGTAGAAGTGAAGAAGCTAGAACTTGAAATTACGTGAAGATTTGATATCTTTCGTTTCTATACTAACGCAGACAGCAGGCGGCATCGCATCCACTCAGTTCCTTGCATGTATAAGGTGTTCACGATACGTGACTAGTAGGTCGGTATAGTAATCCGTATGCCAACCCCACCGGCGCGCAGAGATCTGTCTAACCAGTATCTCCAAATCCAATAACCTCGTTCTTTCATCCGCCATGTTCCAGCTACGCAAGGTCACGATCCTACAAACTTCCCTCACAACCCAGCCCTTTCCATTCCAGTCTTTGAATTCGCCTCGCCGTGCTCTTTCAACCTCTTCAGTACGCAGCTGTGGCATCTTTCGGTTTGTAGTGTATGCATATTTATAATCTCTCTTGCGCATCAGAAAATTGTTCATGTTGAATCCAAACTGCTCCATCGTAAAGTCTGCGATGTATTCCGCTCCAGTTTGGGTTCTGATATTGAAGACGCTGTGGCGAACAAATGGATCTGGCTGTTCCCCCTCCAAATGATGGACAATGACAGGCTTTACTTGGACGGCAAGCCAAGTTATCGTCGCTCCAATTTTTTTAAATGCGGGCTCGAGATAGATGAGAAAGAGTTGGATGCTGAAGTCGCAGTGGTTGTACTTGTTGCGCGCTAGCCGGTCTAGAAGGGATACGTCAGGAGGATGGGCATGAGGACCAATGCCATATATTAACCTTCGATTGCTATCTCGAACTGGGACTTCGGTAATGATGAAAGGTCTGTTCCATCCTGTTGGCACCCAAGAGACGTGGTAAACAGAAGGTCTGCGCTCGTACTCCAGTACTAGATTGAATATATGCCAATATAGCAAGAGTATCGATCGAATGCGATAGTATTCGTCCACTGATTGGCATGTCCACGGTAGTGTGGTTATGAATTTCGTTGCCGTTGGAAAGTGTTGTAGAGATGTTGGAGGTACGTGATGTTCTGCCAATAAGGGGGGCCTTGGGGATGCTGGAGGTGTGGGAGGTTCTGTTGGCTCTGATGATATCACGCTGTCCCGACGGGGGCAGGAGAAGGTGGGAGTTGGAGGAGGTGTCGGCTCTGATGATATTACGCTGCCCTGGCGACGACAAGGGGAGCTGGCAGTTTGAGAAACCTTGCGCGTGTAGGTATCATCCAACATCGGACGGGACGAAGTGGACATGATGGCTTCTGTGACGAATACGAAATTGTTGCTGCACAAGAGAAGATGATTTCATGCAGTATATATACTACGTAGAACTTGAATACTATGATGAGATATCGTGAGCTTCTGTGGATCTACTTCGAACCGTGGACGGCACCGTACAATCGCCCAATACGCTCTTTTCACTGTCAAATCCAACACTGCATCTGAGTACAGGAAAAAATCTACCTAGATATAGAGCGAAAAGCCTTTTCGCTGTATTCTCGGGCACACACCGTCCATCCTGTGGTCCCGCGATCACGCTTCGCAAAGGTGTTACCAACTCGAATAGCTCGCTTAAAGGCACTGCCAGCCATTTGAACTAGACGAATTCGGTATTCTCCATACCGCAGGTCTTTGGCTGGTGGTCGCTCTATACTCCGCCGTGGTAATCATGAGATTGCTCGGAGATTAGATCGCGCCGCAGTACGTCTGGGCCGTGATACGTGGGCCAGAGACAGGTGGAGATCTTGACACGCATATCGGCTGATGCTTTACGTTAGTTCTGGTATATGTAGCGTCGAGTCCAATCCATAATTACGCGTACCATGGTAGTGCGATGGATGCTGTTACCTTTCCCCACGATCCTATCGGTGCGCGACAGACCTCCGCCAACGCTGTTGCAACTACATCCCAGCACCATGTTCGGCCAACTACCTAGGTATCCTCCAAACCAAGCAAAAGCTCAATCTCGCGTGTGGATGACAACATGCAGATAAACCGCGGGACGCGGCTCATGAAACCTCCATCCCGAGTTGCGCGCGCAACATTGCTTCAGGCAAAGAATCGCAGTCGTCGCCAAAAACCAACGTCGAAGCCATGACCGCGAAAGAGGGGAGCTATTATGGGAACATGCAGGTTTCCCGCGCGCAGTGGATCAGGAGAACCACCATGTGACATCAGCGTGCTCCGCGTTAAGCGACTTGACCCTGAAGGTACTAGCGCCCAAACTCTGGGAACAGCCAACGCCAATGAGACGCCGGGCAGTATAGTTCCGTTTCATGAGCCCCGTCGAGCTCAAACCCCTCGCGATGCCGTTGCCGCCGTCGTCGTTCTGACTGTTCAACCCTCTCTCTTTCCGAGGCGAGTCTTTGTCGCTCTCGTCTTTCTTGTCGCTCTCTCTCGCTGCTTATCCTTAGGTCTCTCGCGGCCGTTACAATCTCTCTATAGGTTCACGCTGGTTCGTGCCTACACGCTCACTCCCCTCGCGGTCACATCGCGTTATCGCGCATTCGAAGCCTTCGCAAACGAGTTTTTCCGGTCGATTATTTGAGTTTTCTTGCAAGATGTTGGGTTTTCACAGAAGAACGAGGTCTTTAATACCGGTTAAGGATTTGGGCAAATATGACAAGGCTGCTATGGTTGAGGAAGAGGAGGAGCGGGATGTAGAGGAAGAGATGGAGAGTCACAACGCGCCAGACGGTGCCGATAAGTCGCGGCGGATGCAATTGATGCTGGTGTACCTCATCTTCCTGGCTGAAGCGTAAGTTCTACTATACATCTCATGTGAGATGACCCGTTTCTTCCGGCTTGTGCTGACCTTGGTGTAGCATCATGGCATCAAGCCTCCAGCCACAGCTCCAAATGCTCCTCTCGTCCTCCGACTACTGCGGCACACTCTCCTCGTCTTACCTCCGAAGCATTCTCGACTGCGCATACGCATTTGGTGGAACAACGGGTCTGTTCTGGGGATACCTCGCCGACCGCATGGGAAGACGGCGCGTTACGCTCATTGGGCTCTGGAGCATGTTTGCATGCTGCTTGAGCATGGGATTCGCAACCAGCCTCGTCAGCTGCACAATCTTCCGCTTCGTTGCGGGCATGGTCAGCTCGGCGATCGTATGCACGACCCTGACCATGATTGGAGATTTGAGCACATCGGCAGAGGAGAGGGCCAAGAACGTCGCCCGGCTACCTACCATCTCTCTGGGTGGCTCCATGGGCCCTATCATGCAACTCATGGTATCGGAGAGTCTGCAAGCATACAACATGGTCTGGCA